CCAGGCGTGGTGGTGCGCACCTGTAGTTCCAGCTGCTTCGGAGGCTGAGGCAGAAGGATCACCTGAGCCCAGGAATGGGAGGCTGTAGTGCCTCCCGTTCTGTAGCCCTGATCGTGCCAATGCACTCCAGCCAGGCAACAGAGTGAGATCCCATCTCAAAAAAAAAAAATCTTGCATTGTGTACATAAAACTAGAAGATGGGTGTGGAAGAGCCCCCTCCTAGGAACAGCAAGCAGTGAAGTTATCCTAATTCCCCCAAGTGGGACTGCCTAGAGCAAGACCCAGGACACCACTCTCTTCTCAAGGGTGGGGCCTTAACCTAGGCCCTCGAATTGACTTGGGAGGTCTATGAGCCTTCCAAACTATAGGCAAACTTTTGTGCATAAGTGTTTTCTAGAAAGAGGGTTCCTAGCCTTCAGCAGCTTCTCAAACATGACCATGATTCGCAAAGACCAAGGGCCATTGCCACAGGGGAATTAATTGGGGTCAGAGGCAACTAGGGCTTGGGGTGGCACTCTTGACTTTAGGGGTAGAAATAGGGGGGCTCCCTGGGAAAGCCTACGTGGGAGATATCAGAGTAGACCATGGGCATCACACTGATGTCCATATTTGTTTCTTTGGAAGGGAGAAGGGTGGAATTCATGATGGCCAGGGACACAATTCGAGGGGAGGTCACAGGGGGTGGTGATGGGAGAAGTTGAGCCCAGCTGTTAGTGCCTGCTCTTGTTGGCACTCTGCAGCAGGATAGTTCAGAAGTCTAGAGTGGGTGCCATAGGAGCAGCAGCCTTGTGGTGTGTGACATACTGAGTAGGTCTGGGTCTGTTCAGAACCAGAACTGGGACAGAATCCACAGTGCACGAGCATGTCTTGGAGGGAGCAAAGCCACAGCCACACTGCAAGGCCGTGGTGCTAGGGAAGCTTCTCTGCCTTTGAGCAGCAGTGTATAGTTGTGCAGACTGTGAACTGTACAAGCCCAGGGGAGCCATTTGCATTACAGTTCATGTCAGTTCTCCTTAGAGTCTGGTCCGTGAAGCCAGCAGCTTCGGCATCACCCGGGAGGTTGTTAAAATGCAGATTCTCAAGCCCTGCTTGGGACTAACTGAATCAGAACCTGTGGAGGTGAGGCCCAGGAATCTGTATTTAACTGACTGTGCTGCTTCCTGTGCTAGAGACCTTCACCTACCACTGGGACCTAGGGAAGTCTTGGCCGTTTGAGTAAGCCTCCTACCACTGACTTCCTCCCTCTCTCCTCCCTGGCCAGGTCCTGAGCTAGTGGTCAACTAAGACCTCTCAAGACCTCTCAATTTTAATTCACAGGAAATGCCTCTAAGCTCAGTGGTCCCATCTTCTATCTACTAGACAGAGAGAGAGAGAGAGAGAGAGAGAGAGAGAGAGAGAGAGAGAGAGAAA